AAAAGACCCAAGTTTAAAACCTAGACATATCCATGAAGGCATAACTTTCAACCAGAGACTCTCTTCCTGCTACCCTATCTCAAGGAGGTTGTTGCACAAATAAAAATAGGAGGATCATGTATGCCACCTTAAGCCTCTTGGAGAAAAGATGGGATATACAAAAAATAAAATAAATTGTGACTATGAAGCTGCTTTTTGGAATATACCATGAAGATGTCCTTTTCAAATGAGGAATTTGTCCTATATTCAGAGCTTGGAAAGTTACTCCTTTGGACTGAAACTCCCAGATTCCTTGACTCAGTCACTAACAAAAATATATGGGAACAACTAGAAATCATATGGGGGGGGGGGGAAATAAGGCTCTGGCATGGGATTGGATGGTTTTTCAGTAAGAAAAGGTTTCCTAGCAGCAAATACAGGTAATGTGCTTACAGGAGCTGAGCTAAACAATGCCTACAAAAAGCTTCAAATGTTGATGATATGCACAAGTACAGGAAGCACTAGAACTGGGTTTTGTGTTATTATGCCAGAGAAAATACCACCCCCAGCCCACAATAAACTGAAATGAAATTGATTTATAACTTCAAATTTAATTGGCTGGTGATATGAGGAGATAACATAAGTTGGCAGTTTGTGTTTTGCTTTTTTTTTCTGTTCAGACCTCATGTCATTGCAGCTTTTTCTCACCAGTTGCAATAAATATATAAAGAGGAACTGGTTCAGACACTTCATGTAGATGGGCTGCTCTCATGTAGAAATAAGAATCAAACTATCCATTTCCTTTGTATTCTACATAAGAACAGAGATGGTTGTGCTTATTTTTTTTTTCTAAAATTGGGAACAGTTATGCCTTTTATTTTTAATACTTTATTCATTTTTTATTTTTAATACTTTGATTTTAAGACATAAATGCAAAGAAGGAGGGGGGAAAGAAGAGGGAGAAAGGTGGGGATTGAAATGCAAAACTTATGAATGTGGGCTTTGCAAATGCTTATATATGATCTGAAGTTCATGCATATATAGAAATCTGAACTGTGCATATACGCATACACATACATCTACAAATACCAAAGAGTTGTCCAATACAGAATTAATACATTGTAATATAGCCAGTTAGAAAGGGTTCACATCCTATGCCATATTATCCATGTTATCTTATGCACCCAATTGCTTTCTTTAAAAGTTTAGTGGTGACCAATATACCCAAAACACAAATTTTTGCTGAAATAGACATGATTTTAAATCCACAGAGATTTTAGATATTGAGACTAAAACATTTTTATATTGGTTGGCTTGCATGGAACAATCTGTATTTCATTCAGTTCTAACTTCACTGACATCAAATTTAGTTCTTTTCTGAACTACATTTGTTGGTTTCAATTTCTCTGAGGTTACAATTAGAGCTTTGAACATCACAGGAGTGAATGATGTAAAGGAGTTAACTACTGCGGCACACACTACAGTCACCTTCCTACTTTTACACTTTAATTCTAGCTAGCTATACTTTGGGAACTTGTTATCCCCACTTCTACCAACTAATAAAGTGTCAGGGACTCACACTTCCTTTTTAGTGTAGTCCCACCTCCAGAATAACAAAATATTGGTAGCATGTTTTATGTCTAAAACAGAAGCCAAGTGATGTTGGAATAAAAAAAGAGAAAAGTTTATTTTACATCAACATGCAATAACGGTAACTTGTTTCAGAACTTGCTATTATAATTTTTCTTAGTTACAGACTTAATACATATGTTACAAATTCAATCACAGTACCTCAACCCAACTAGCTCATAATATCTAACTGGAGAGAACACCACAGTAACTCTCTCTTGCAGAGCTCTGTGTGTGTTCAGAGTTTACCCTTTCTAAATTCTATCGCTCTAAAATTCAGTTCCCTCATGAACACCTTAAACACAGCCCTTTCACTGACTAAACTTTCCCAACACACCCTCTAATGCAAATCTTCTTCTTCTCTCTCACTGTCAGCCTGGGCTTTTATACAACTCCCAGCTGAACTCCCATTGGACGTTATCACACGGGGCCTAAAGCAGTCCCATCCCTGTCGCA